AGTATTCTCCCCCCCCAGCATAATCCCCCCAGCGTAACCCCCCTAGTATTCTCCCCCCAGCGTAACCCCCCTAGTATTCTCCCCCCCAGTGTAATCCCCCCAGTATTCTCCCCCCAGTGTAATCCCCCCAGTATTCTCCCCCCAGCGTAAATCACCCCAGTATTCTCCCCCCAGGGTAAATCCACCAGTATTCTCCCCCAGGGTAAATCCTTCCAGTGTTCTCCCCCCAGTGTAATCCCCCCAGTATTCTAGCCCCAGCGTGAATCCCCCCAGTGTCCCCTGACAGGGACTGGGATACTCTTGGTCCATCTGGCCGAAACCAGGCCGACTCCTTTCCTTTGGAGACCTGCTGAAGCAAGGCCAACCCAAGTACTAGATGAGGCCCCCCAAAGGAAGACTCTGTGGAAGGGGGAGAACCTGACCAAAAGGCCACGTGCCCTCCCTCACAAGACGTGGTCCTCCTCCTAAGAGAAAGGATCCTGGCCCTGATCCCCCGGGGCTCCAGGCTCCTGACAGGGACTGGGATACTCTTGGTCCACCTGGCCGAAACCAGGCTGACTCCTTTCCTTGGGAAACCCACTGAAGCAAGTCCAACCCAAGTACTAGATGAGGCCCCCCCAAAGGAAGACTCCTTGGAAGGGAGAGAACCTGACCAAAAGGCCACGTGACCCCTCCCCCACAAGATATGGTCCTCCTCGGACTAGGAGAGAGGATATTGGATGGCCCTGATCCCCCAGGGCTCCAGGCTCCTGTCACTGGCCTGCCTGGGATACTCTTGGTACATCTGGCCGACTCATTCAAACCAAGCCGACTCTTTTCCTTGGGAGGCTCCGCTGAAGCAAGGCCAACGGATCAAATTCAAAAACCCAAGTACTAGATGAGGCCCCCCAAGGAAGACTCAGTGAAAGGGGGACCTAACCTGACCAAAAGGCCACATGACCCCCTCTCACAAGACTTTTAGGGCAAGCCTGCGGACAGGAAGAGCAAGATATTGGATGGGGAAGAGCACCACAATCTGGCAAGCAGGAAGTTGCCTATGGAAGCTAAATTATACCAAAATTGGTGCTGTGCTCCCACACTTGTATAAACAACTAATTCAAAAATGAGGTTTCAATTCACCCCTAGTGAATCCTCCTGTGTGTAATGATCCCAAACTCAATTCTTCATATTATTATACAATCTGATGGTTCCTGATGAAGTCACGTGATTAATGACGCAACTAGTCGGACGAGATACGGAGACGTGGTGACATAACTTCCGGCACAAGGGCCATCTTGACACACCCATAGGAGTACACCCAGGAGTTCAATGGCACCCCTAGTGAATCCTCCTGTGTGTAATGATCCCAAACTCAATTCTTCATATTATTATGAATTCCACCCCTAGTGACGTGACTTCATCAGGAACCATTAATTCTTCATCAATGAAGAACTGAGTTTGGGATAATTACAACAGGAGGATTCACTAGAGGTGTCATTGAACTCCTGGGTGTACTCCTATGGGTGTATCAAGATGGCCCTTGTGCCGGAAGTGATGTCACCACTTCTCCATCTCTTGTCCGACTAGTTGCGTCACTAATCACGTGACTTCATCAGGAACCATCAGATTGTATAATAATATGAAGAATTGAGTTTGGGATCAGCACACACACAGGAGGATTCACTAGGGGTGTCATTGAACTCCTGGGTGTACTCCTATGGGTGTGTCAAGATGGCCCTTCCACTGGAAGTGATGTCACCACGTCTCCGTCTCTCGTCCGAATAGTTGCGTCACTAATCACGTGACTTCATCAGGAACCATCAGATTGTATAATAATATGAAGAATGGAGTTTGGGATCATTACACACAGGAGGATTCACTAGGGGTGTCATTGAACTCCTGGGTGTACTCCTATGGGTGTATCAAGATGGCCCTTCCACCGGAAGTGATGTCACCACGTCTCCGTCTCTTGTCCGACTAGTTGCGTCACTAATCACGTGACTTCATCAGGAACCATCAGATTGTATAATAATATGAAGAATGGAGTTTGGGATCATTACACACACAGGAGGATTCACTAGGGGTGTCATTGAATTCCTGGGTGTACTCCTATGGGTGTATCAAGATGGCCCTTGTGCCGGAAGTGATGTCACCACGTCTCCGTCTCTCATCCGACTAGTTGCGTCATTAATCACGTGACTTCATCAGGAACCATCAGATTGTATAATAATATGAAGAATTGAGTTTGGGATGGTTACACACAGGAGGAATCACTAGGGGTGTCATTGAACTCCTGGGTGTACTCCTATGGGTGTATCAAGATGGCCCTTGTGCCGGAAGTGATGTCACCACGTCTCCGTCTCTGTCCGACTAGTTGCGTCACTAATCACGTGACTTCATCAGGAACCATCAGATTGTATAATAATATGAAGAATTGAGTTTGGGATGGTTACACACAGGAGGAATCACTAGGGGTGGAATTGAAACCTCATTTTCGATTTAATTGTTTATATAAGTGTGGGAGCGCAGCACCAATTTTGGTATAATTTTGATCCCGTTCTATCCGGGTGTATAGCCAGGTGTCAGCGGCAACCCATTCCTGGTATAATAGTTTATTCCGGGTAGCGCAGGTGGTTCTCCGTTGCCTATGGAAGCTGTTGACATTGTAAGGTGCTCAGGGCCGGCAGAGGTTCAGGAACCGTCTGAACCGTCCTTTCTGCTCGTTTCCTGCTCCGTCCACCTGCTGCTCGGCATTCTTCTCCATTTTCTTTTGCTCCTTCATCTTTCTCTTCTCGTCTTTTTCCATCTTTCTCTCCATCTTCATTTCATGGTCTACGAGTGACGCCAAGTAGCAGGGATCCTCCGTATCTTTGGGACCCTTGTACTTCTTCCCTATAATGTTGTACGCAAACGTTCGCATCCTCAGCCTCCTCAGCAGCTTCTTCATCTCCTTCTCCATCACCTTCACTTTCTTCTTGTTCTCCTCTTCCTTCCTCTGTCTTTCCTGTTTCTCCTTCAGCTTCTTTCGATGGTCCTCCATAAGCTGCAGCAGTCTTTCGTCTTTCTTCAGCTTCACGTGAAACTTCTCCAGTAGAGCTTTCTCGCCCTCTCCACTGCCCTGTGTTGCTCCTCCTGATTCATTACTGTGGTCACCTCATCCGAGTCACTGCTGGAAGAGAAATAAAATCAATGGATTCATTTTCCCAAACTTTTATTACTGGAACCGAAAAAGAATAAAAAATTATGTTTAAGCCTTGTTATGATCAGGACGCTGGTATGGGGGTGATCAGGCTGGGGTATGGGGGTGATCAGGGTGATCAGGATGGGGTATGGGGGTGATCAGGATGGGGTATGGGGGTGATCAGGGTGATCAGGATGGGGTATGGGGGTGATCAGGGTGATGGTATGGGGGTATGGGGTATGGGGGTGATCGGGTGATCAGGATGGGGTATGGGGTATCAGGGGTGATCAGGATGGGGTATGGGGGTGATCAGGGTGATGGTATGGGGTATGGGGGTGATCAGGATCAGGATGGGGTATGGGGGTGATCAGGGTGATGGTATGGGGTATCAGGATGGGTGATCAGGACGGTGGTATGGGGTATGGGGGTGATCAGGGTGATCTGGTATGGGGTATGGGGGTGATGGGGATATGGGGTATGGGGTGATCAGGATGCTGGTATGGGGTATGGCGGTGATCAGGATGCTGGTATGGGGTATGGGCGGTGATCAGGATGCTGGTATGGGGGTGGATCAGGATGCTGGTATGGGGTATGGCGGTGATCAGGACGCTGGTATGGGGGTATGGAGGTGATCAGGATGCTGGTATGGGGTATGGGGGTGATCAGGATGCTGGTATGGGGTATGGCGGTGATCAGGATGCTGGTATGGGGGTATGGCGGTGATCAGGACACTGGTATGGGGTATGGCGGTGATCAGGACGCTGGTATGGGGTATGGCGGTGATCAGGACGCTGGTATGGCGGTGATCAGGACGCTGGTATGGGGTATGGGCGGTGATCAGGATGCTGGTATGGGGTATGGTGGTGATCAGGACGCTGGTATGGGGTATGGAGGTGATCAGGACGCTGGTATGGGGTATGGGGTGATCAGGATGCTGGTATGGGGTATGGAGGTGATCAGGACGCTGGTATGGGGTATGGCGGTGATCAGGATGCTGGTATGGGGTATGGGGGTGATCAGGGTGCTGGTATGGGGTATGGAGGTGATCAGGACGCTGGTATGGGGTGTGTATGGCGGTGATCAGGATGCTGGTATGGGGTATGGGGTGATCAGGATGCTGGTATGGGGTATGGGGGTGATCAGGACGCTGGTATGGGGTATGGCGGTGATCAGGACGCTGGTATGGGGTATGGGGTGATCAGGATGCTGGTATGGGGGGTATGGCGGTGATCAGGACGCTGGTATGGGGTATGGGGTGATCAGGACGCTGGTATGCTGGTATGGGGTGATCAGGAGGTGGTATGGGGTGGGGTTATGGTGGTGATCAGGGTGGTATGGGGTATGGGGGTGATCAGGACGCTGGTATGGGGTATGGGGGTGATCAGGATGCTGGTATGGGGTATGGGAGGTGATCAGGACGCTGGTATGGGGGTATGGGGTGATCAGGATGCTGGTATGGGGTATGGTGGTGATCAGGGTGATGGTATGGGGTATGGCGGTGATCAGGGCGCTGGTATGGGGTTATGGTGGTGATCAGGATGCTGGTATGGGGGTGATCAGGACGCTGGTATGGGGTATGGGGGTGATCAGGTGATGGTATGGGGTATGGGGTGATCAGGACGCTGGTATGGGGGGTATGGCGGTGATCAGGATGCTGGTATGGGGTATGGGGGTGATCAGGACGCTGGTATGGGGTATGGAGGTGATCAGGACGCTGGTATGGGGTATGGCGGTGATCAGGATGCTGGTATGGGGTATGGCGGTGATCAGGATGCTGGTATGGGGTATGGGGGTGATCAGGACGCTGGTATGGGGTATGGGAGGTGATCAGGACGCTGGTATGGGGTATGGCGGTGATCAGGACGCTGGTATGGGGTATGGCGGTGATCAGGACGCTGGTATGGGGTATGGGGGTGATCAGGACGCTGGTATGGGGTATGGCGGGTGATCAGGATGCTGGTATGGGGTATGGCGGTGATCAGGACGCTGGTATGGGGTATGGCGGTGATCAGGACTGGTATGGGGTATGGGGGTGATCAGGATGCTGGTATGGGGTATGGGGGTGATCAGGACGCTGTGTATGGTATGGGGGGTGATGGTATGGGGTATGGAGGTGATCAGGACGCTGGTATGGGGTATGGGGGTGATCAGGATGCTGGTATGGGGTATGGGGGTGATCAGGTGCTGGTATGGGGTATGGAGGTGATCAGGATGCTGGTATGGGGTATGGGGGTGATCAGGATGCTGGTATGGGGTATGGGGGTGATCAGGATGCTGGTATGGGGTATGGCGGTGATCAGGACGCTGGTATGGGGTATGGTGGTGATCAGGACGCTGGTATGGGGTATGGCGGTGATCAGGACGCTGGTATGGGGTATGGGGGTGATCAGGACGCTGGTATGGGGTATGGCGGTGATCAGGATGCTGGTATGGGGTATGGCGGTGATCAGGGCGCTGGTATGGGGTATGGCGGTGATCAGGATGCTGGTATGGGGTATGGAGGTGATCAGGGCTGGTATTGGGTATGGGGGTGATCAGGGTGATGGTATGGGATATGGTGGTGATCAGGACGCTGGTATGGGGTATGGGCGGTGATCAGGTGATGGTATGGGGGTATGGGGTGATCAGGGCGCTGGTATGGGGTATGGGCGGTGATCAGGGTGGATGGTGTGGGGTATGGCGGTGATCAGGACGCTGGTATGGGGTATGGCGGTGATCAGGATGCTGGTATGGGGGGGTGATCAGGGTGATGGTGATGGTATGGCGGTGGGTATGCTGGGGGGTGATCAGGGTGATGGTATGGGGTATGGCGGTGATCAGGACGCTGGTATGGGGGTGATCAGGGTGCTGGTATGGCGTACCTTAAGCCTTGGCTGCTGCGCCAGGCCATCAAAGTGGCCAACATTTTATGAATGGGCTGGTAAATGCTGATCTCTGTAATTATTTATAAAGCAGCCCCAAAGACTTACCCCCCCAAAGTCCTAATGGAAGCAATAAAAGATTAGGTCTAAGCCTTGGCTGCTGGGCCAGGCCATCAAGGTGGCCAACACTTTATGATTGGGCTGGTAAAGGCAGATGTCTGTTCTTGTTTATAAAGCAGCACCTAAGACTTAGCCCCCCAAAGTCCTAATGGAAGCAAAAATACTCCTTTCCTCTGCCTGTCCCAGAGTGGCCCCAGCGCTGTTACAATACAATAGCTGGTTCCAGTGGTGCCTGCAGGTCTCAGCGGCTTTAGACCTCAGCCAGGGGCCATCTCCTGGTCTCCCAATCATAATACCGCCTTAGACAGGTGTCACCTCACCTCCTGTTACTGGGACGGCTTCAGGATATATTGGATTTCCCTTCACTGTCTGTACAGAGATAGGGGTCACCAGGACAGCTGGAGAGGGAGAATCTTTCCAGTGGGGACACCAACCAATGCGATAAAAAACTTGCAGGGGTTCCAACTCTTTCATACAAATAGAAGTTCGGGCTTTCCATACAACTTAAGACTTGCAAGGAAGAATGTGTACAAACCTCCATTCCTCAGACATCCTCTCCTTTTCCTCCAACTCCTCGAGTCTCTGCTCCTCTTCCTCCAACTCTTTGACTTTCTGCTCCTCTTACTCCTACTCCTCGAGTCTCTGCTCCTCTTCCTTCCAACTCCTCGAGTCTCTGTTCCTCTTCCTCCAACTCCTCGAGTCTCTGCTCCTCTTCTTCCAACTCTTTGACTTTATGTCTCTCCTCTTCCTCCTACTCCTCGAGTCTCTGCTCCTCTTCCTCCAACTCCTCGAGTCTCTGCTCCTCTTCCTCCAACTCTTTGACTTTCTGCTCCTCTTACTCCTACTCCTCGAGTCTCTGCTCCTCTTCCTCCAACTCCTCGAGTCTCTGCTCCTCTTCCTCCAACTCCTCGAGTCTCTGCTCCTCTTCTTCCAACTCTTTGACTTTCTGCTCCTCTTCCTCCAACTCCTCGAGACTCTGCTACTTTTCCTCCAACTCCTCGAGTCTCTGTTCCTCTTCCTCCAACTCTTTGACTTTCTGCTCCTCTTCCTCCAACTCCTCGAGACTCTGCTACTTTTCCTCCAACTCCTCGAGTCTCTGCTCCTCTTCCTCCAACTCCTCAAGTCTCTGCTCCTCTTCCTCCAACTCCTCCAGTCTCTGCTCCTCTTCCTCCAACTCTTTGACTTTCTGCTCCTCTTCCTCCAACTCCTCGAGTCTCTGCTCCTCTTCCTCCAACTCTTTGACTTTCTGCTCCTCTTACTCCTACTCCTCGAGTCTCTGCTCCTCTTCCTCCAACTCCTCGAGTCTCTGTTCCTCTTCCTCCAACTCCTCGAGTCTCTGCTCCTCTTCTTCCAACTCTTTGACTTTCTGCCCCTCTTCCTCCTACTCCTCGAGTCTCTGCTCCTCTTCCTCCAACTCCTCGAGTCTCTGCTCCTCTTCCTCCAACTCTTTGACTTTCTGCTCCTCTTACTCCTACTCCTCGAGTCTCTGCTCCTCTTCCTCCAACTCCTCGAGTCTCTGCTCCTCTTCTTCCAACTCTTTGACTTTCTGCTCCTCTTCCTCCAACTCCTCGAGACTCTGCTACTTTTCCTCCAACTCCTCGAGTCTCTGTTCCTCTTCCTCCAACTCTTTGACTTTCTGCTCCTCTTCCTCCAACTCCTCGAGACTCTGCTACTTTTCCTCCAACTCCTCGAGTCTCTGCTCCTCTTCCTCCAACTCCTCGAGTCTCTGCTCCTCTTCCTCCAACTCTTCGAGTCTCTGCTCCTCTTCTTGAACTCCTCGAGTTTCTGCTCCTCAAGTCTCCAGTCCTTGACTCTCCTGTTCATGGTTCTCCTCTCCTCTTCCTCCCTCTCCTCGGCTCTCCTCTGCCTGTCCCAGAGTGGCCCCAGCGCTGTTACAATACAATAGCTGGTCCCAGTGGTGCCTGCAGGTCTCAGTGGCTTTAGACCTCAGCCAGGGCCATCTCCTGGTCTCCCAATCATATTACCGCCTTAGACAGGTGTCACCTCACCTCCTGTTACTGGGACGGCTTCAGGATATATTGGATTTCCCTTCACTGTCTGTACAGAGATAGGGGTCACCAGGACAGCTGGAGAAGGAGAATCTTTCCAGTGGGGAGACCAACCAATGCGATAAAAACTTGCAGGGGTTCCAACTCTTTCATACAAATAGAAGTTCGGGCTTTCCATACAACTTAAGACTTGCAAGGAAGAATGTGTACTTACCTCCATTCCTCAGACATCCTCTCCTTTTCCTCCAACTCCTCGACTCTCTGCTCCTCTTCCTCCAACTCCTCGACTCTCTGCTCCTCTTCTTCCAACTCCTTGAGTCTCTGCTCCTCTTCTCCCAACTCTTTGACTTTCTGCTCCTCTTCCTCCAACTCCTCGAGTCTCTGCTCCTCTCCTCCAACTCTTTGACTTTCTGCTCCTCTCTTCAACTCTTTGACTCTGCTCCTCTTCCTCCAACTCCTCGAGTCTCTGCTCCTTTTTCCTCCAACTCCTCGAGTCTCTGCTCCTCTTCCACCAACTCCTCGAGACTCTGCTCCTTTTCCTCCAACTCCTCGAGTCTCTGCTCCTCTTCCTCCAACTTCTCGAGTCTCTTCTCCTCTTCCTCCAACTCTTTGACTTTCTGCTGCTTTTCCTCCAACTCCTCGAGTCTCTGATCCTCTTCCTCCAACTCCTCGAAACTCTGCTCCTCTTCTTCCAACTCCTCAAGTCTCTGCTCCTCTTCCTCCAACTCCTTGTGTCTCTGCTCCTCTTCTCTCCACTCCTTTTCAACTCTGCTTCCTCTCCTCCACTCTCCTCTCCATGTCCTCCCTGCTCCTTGGCTCCACTCCTTTTCATGGCTCTCCTCTCCTCCACTCTCCTCTCCATGTCCTCCCTCTCCTTGGCTCTCCTTTTCATGGCTCTCCTCTCCTCCACTCTCCTCTCCATGTCCTCCCTCTCCTTGGCTCTCCTTTTCATGGCTCTCCTCTCCTCCACTCTCCTCTCCACTTCCTCTCTCTCCTTGGCTCTCCTTTCCTCTCCCAGTCTGCGACTGGCATCACTGCCAGGCTCGTTCATCATGTCCTCATCAGTGCTGTAAAAAAAAAAAAAAAAAAAAAAAAAAAAGGTTATTTTTTTTGCCATTTTTGTCATTGGAAGCGATGAGAGGCAATGTGGCCCCTGCACAGGGGAATGGCGTTTGCACCAGTACGGCCGCATGCAGCCTTGCACTTCTATGGCCGGTGGTAGGTGCCACCTGCGGCTCCACAGACACAGGAACGCAATGGGAATTCTGCGCCCGAGCCACTAAAGTCCATGTCCATGAGGCCTCTCTGAGCCGGGGCCGGGCCACTTGCTGCACATTTATTAACCCCTTCAAGTCCGGACACTTTCAAAACCCTTCCAGCCCAGGATGATTTTTCAGAAAATCATTTTTTTTTCATAAATTTAGGTCAAAATGTTAAATTTCTGGGGTAAAAAAAACCTAAAACAATTTATATTATTTAGCCGGTGTGAAATGCTTGTATGGGGGTGATCAGGGTGATGGTATGGGGTATGGGGGTGATCAGGACGCTGGTGGGGTGATCAGGGTGATGGTAGGACAGCTGGGGGTATGGTGGTGATCAGGATGGTATGGGGTATGGTGGTGATCAGGGTGCTGGTATGGGGTATGGCGGTGATCAGGACGGTGGTATGGGTATGGCGGTGATCAGGACGCTGGTATGGGGTATGGGCGGTGATCAGGGGCTGGTATGGGTATGGTGGTGATCAGGACGCTGGTATGGGGTATGGTGGGTGATCAGGACGCTGGTATGGGGGTGGTGGTGTATGCGGGGATCCATGGAGGGCGCTGGTATGGGGTATGGCGGTGATCAGGACGCTGGTATGGGGTATGGCGGGTGATCAGGGACGCTGGTATGGGGGTATGGCGGGTGATCAGGACGCTGGTATGGGTATGGCGGTGATCAGGATGTTGGGGTATGGGTATGGCGGTGATCAGGACGCTGGTATGGGGGTATGGCGGTGATCGGTGACGCTGGTATGGGGTATGGTGGTGATCAGGACGCTGGTATGGGGTATGGTGGTGATCAGGACGCTGGTATGGGGTATGGGGGTGATCAGGTGCTGGTATGGGGTATGGCGGTGATCAGGACGCTGGTATGGGGTATGGGGGTGATCAGGACGCTGGTATGGGGTATGGGGGTGATCAGGACACGCTGGTATGGGGTATGGGGGTGATCAGGGCTGTGTATGGGGTATGGCGGGTGATCAGGATGCTGGTATGGGTATGGTGGTCGGTGATCAGGACGCTGGTATGGGGTATGGTGGTGATCAGGATCTGGTATGGGGTATGGAGGTGATCAGGATGCTGGTATGGGGGTATGGGGGTGATCAGGACCTGGTATGGGGTATGGGGGTGATCAGGACGCTGGTATGGGGTATGGGGTGATCAGGAGGCTGGTATGGGGTATGGGGTGATCAGGACGCTGGTATGGGGGTATTATGGGGGTGATCAGGACGCTGGTATGGGGTATGGAGGTGATCAGGATGCTGGTATGGGGTATGGAGGTGATCAGGACACTGGTATGGGGTATGGCGGTGATCAGGACGCTGGTATGGGGTATGGGGTGGTGATCAGGGACGATGGTATGGGGTATGGGGGTGATCAGGACGCTGGTATGGGGTATGGGGTGATCAGGACGCTGTATGGGGTATGGGGTGATCAGGACGCTGGTATGGGGTATGGAGGTGATCAGGATGCTGGTATGGGGATATGGGAGGTGATCAGGACGCTGGTATGGGGGGTATGGGGTGATCAGGATGCTGGTATGGGGTATGGGGGTGATCAGGGTTAGGGGTATGGGGTTTTGGGGTGATCAGGAGGCTGTATGGGGTATGGGGGTGATCAGGACGGCTGGTATGGGGTATGGGGGTGATCAAGGACGCTGGTATGTGGTATGGGGTGATCAGGGGTGGTATGTGGTAATGGGGGTGATCAGGAATGCTGGTATGGGGTTATGGGGGTGATAGGCGTGGTATGGGGTATGGTGGTGATCAGGCGCTGGTATGGGTATGGGGTGATCAGGAGGCTGGTATGGGGGTATGGGGGTGATCAGGATGCTGGTATTGGGGTATGGGGGTGATCAGGACGCTGGTATGGGGTATGGAGGTGATCAGGACGCTGGTATGGGGTATATGGGGGTGATCAGGACGCTGGTATGGGGTATGGGAGGTGATCAGGGTGCTGGTATGGGGTATGGGGTGATCAGGACGCTGGTATGGGGTATGGAGGTGATCAGGACGCTGGTATGGGGTATGGGGGTGATCAGGATGCTGGTATTGGGGTATGGGGTGATAGGGGGTGATCAGGATGCTGGGAATGTGGTATGGGGGTGATCAGGACGCTGGTATGGGGTATGGTGGGTGATCAGGACGCTGGTATGGGGTATGGGGTGATCAGGAGGCTGGTATGGGGTATGGGGGTGATCAGGAAGGCTGGTATCAGGGGGTATGGGGGTGATCAGGGTGCTGGTATGGGGTATGGGGGTGATCAGGATGCTGGTATGGGGTATGGGGGTGATCAGGACGCTGGTATGGGGTATGGAGGTGATCAGGACGCTGGTATGGGGGTATGGGGTGATCAGGACGCTGGTATGGGGTATGGGGGTGATCAGGGTGCTGGTATGGGGTATGGGGGTGATCAGGAGGGCTGGTATGGGGTATGGGATCAGGACGCTGGTATGGTATGAGTGGTATGGGGTATGGGGGGTGATCAGGATGCTGGTGGGTGATGGGGTATGGGGGTGATCAGGGACGCTGGTATGGGGGTATGGAGGTGATCAGGACGCTGGTATGGGGTATGGAGGTGATCAGGACGCTGGTATGGGGTATGGCTGGTGATCAGGACCTGGTATGGGGTATGGGGGTGATCAGGACGCTGGTATGGGGTATGGGGGTGATCAGGGTGCTGGTATGGGGTATGGAGGTGATCAGGACGCTGGTATGGGGTATGGAGGTGATCAGGACGCTGGTATGGGGTATGGAGGTGATCAGGACGCTGGTATGGGGTATGGAGGTGATCAGGACGCTGGTATGGGGTATGGGGTGATCAGGATCCGCTGGTATGGGGTATGGGGTGATCAGGGGGTGGTATGGGGTATGGGGTGATCAGGACGCTGGTATGGGGGTATGGAGGTGATCAGGACGCTGGTATGGGGTATGGTGGTGATCAGGACGCTTGGTATGGGGGTATGGCTGGTGATCAGGGGTATGTATGGGGTAGCCTTCTGGAGGTGATCAGGACGCTGGTATGGGGTATGAGGTGATCAGGACGCTGGTATGGGGTATGGGGGTGATCAGGACGCTGGTATGGGGTATGGGGTGATCAGGACGCTGGTATGGGTAATGGGGGTGATTCAGACGCTGGTATGGGGTATGGGGGGTGATCAGGACGCTGGTATGGGGTATGGTAGGTGATCAGGATGCACTGGTATGGGGTATGGGGGTGATCAGGACGCTGGTATGGGTATGTAGGTGATCAGGACGCTGGTATGGGGTATGGGGGTGATCAGGACGCTGGTATGGGTATGGGGTGATCAGGACGCTGGTATGGGGTATGGGGGTGATCAGGACAGCTGGTATGGGGTATGGAGGTGATCAGACGCTGGTATTATGGGTATGGGGTGATCAGGATGCTGGTATGGGGTATGGGGGTGATCAGGAGGCTGGTATGGGGTATGGGGTGATCAGGACGCTGGTATAATTGGGATGGTGGTGATCAGGATCGCTGGTATGGGGTATGGGGGTGATCAGGGGTGACCTGGTATGGGGTATGGGGGGTGATCAGACGCTGGTATGGGGTATGGCGGGTTGATCAGGACGCTGGTATGGGGTATGGGGGTGATCAGTGACGCTGGTATGGGTATGGGGTGATCAGGACGCTGGTATGGGGTATGGGGGTGATCAGGACTCTGGTAATGGGTATGGGGTATGGTGGTGATCAGGAGGCTGGTATGGGGTATGGGGGTGATCAGGAGGCTGGTATGGGGTATGGGGGTGATCAGGACCTGGTATGGGGTATGGTATGGGTGATCAGGACCGGTATGGGTATGGGGTCAGGACGCTGGAGGGGTGATCAGGATGCTGGGTATGGGGTATGGGGTGATCAGGGTGATGGAATGGGGTATGGTGGTGATCAGGATGCTGGTATGGGGTATGGGGTGATCAGGGTGATTGTATGGGGTTATGGGGGTGATCAGGACGCTGGTATGGGGTATGGAGGTGATCAGGACGCTGGTATGGGGTATGGGGTGATCAGGACGCTGGTATGGGGTATGGTGGTGATCAGGACGCTGGTATGGGGTATGGGGGTGATCAGGACGCTGGTATGGGTATGGGGTGATCAGGACGCTGGTATGGGGTATGGGGTGATCAGGACGCTGGTATGGGTATGGCGGGTGATCAGGACGCTGGTATGGGGGTATGGGGGTGATCAGGACGCTGGTATGGGGTATGGGGGTGATCAGGACGCTGGTATGGGGTATGGGGTGATCAGGGACGCTGGTATGGGGTATGGGGGTGATCAGGACGCTGGTATGGGGTATGGGGGGGGTGATCAGGACGCTGGTATGGGGTATGGTGATCAGGACGATGGTATGGGTATGGTGGTGATCAGGACGCTGGTATGGGGTATGGTGGTGATCAGGACGCTGGTATGGGGTATGGGGGTGATCAGGACGCTGGTATGGGGTATGGGGAGTGATCAGGACGCTGGTATGGGGTATGGGGGTGATCAGGATGATGGTATGGGGTATGGGGGTGATCAGGATGCTGGTATGGGGTATGGGGGTGATCAGGACGCTGGTATGGGGTATGGGGGTGATCAGGATGCTGGTATGGGGTATGGGGGTGATCAGGACGCTGGTATGGGGTATGGGGTGATCAGGACGCTGGTATGGGGTATGGGGGTGATCAGGTGCTGGTATGGGGTATGGGGTGGTCAGGTGTGATGGGGTATGGGGGTGATCAGGGTGCTGGTATGGGTATGGGGTGATCAGGGTGCTGGTATGGGGTATGGGGTGATCAGGACGGTGGTATGGGGTATGGGGGTGATCAGGACGCTGGTATGGGGTATGGGGTGATCAGGAGCTGGTATGGGGTATGGGGGTGATCAGGACGCTGGTATGGGGTATGGGGGTGATCAGGACGCTGGTATGGGTATGGGGGTGATCAGGACGCTGGTATGGGGTATGGGGGTGATCAGGGACGCTGGTATGGGGTGATGGGGACGCTGGGTATGGGTATGGGGGTGATCAGGGGGTATGGGGGTGATCGGGACGCCTGGTATGGGGGTATGGGGTGATCAGGACGCTGGTATGGGGTATGGGGGTGATCAGGACGCTGGTATGGGGTATGGGGGTGATCAGGACGCTGGTATGGGGTATGGGGGTGATCAGGACGCTGGTATGGGGTATGGGGGTGATCAGGACGCTGGTATGGGGTATGGGGGTGATCAGGACGCTGGTATGGGGTATGGTGGTGATCAGGACGCTGGTATGGGTATGGGGGTGATCAGGACGCTGGTATGGGGTATGGTGGTGATCAGGACGCTGGTATGGGGGATGGTGGGTGATCAGGACACTGGTATGGGGTATCTGGAGGTGATCAGGTGATGGATGGGGTATGGTGGTGATCAGGATGCTGGTATGGGGTATGGGGTGATCAGGACGCTGGTATGGGGGGGAATGGGGGTGATCAGGACACTGGTTTGGGGTATGGAGGTGATCAGGATGCTGGTATGGGTATGGGGGTGATCAGGATGCTGGTATGGGGTATGGAGGTGATCAGGACGCTGGTATGGGGTATGGGGGTGATCAGGATGCTGGTATGTGGTATGGGAGGTGATCAGGATGCTGGTATGGGGGTATGGAGGTGATCAGGACGCTGGTATGGGGGGGGAGGTGATCAGGATGCTGGTATGGGGTGGAGAGGTGATCAGGAGCTGGTATGGGGTATGGTGGTGATCAGGACGCTGGTATGGGTATGGGGGTGATCAGGACGCTGGTATGGGGTATGGTGGTAGATCAGGACGGGTATGGGGTATGGGGGTGATCAGGGTGATGGTATGGGGTATGGGGGGTGATAGGGACGCTGGTATGGGGTATGGGGGTGATCAGGGTGATGGTATGGGTATGGGAGGTGATCAGGACGCTGGTATGGGTATGGCGGTGATCAGGATCATGCTGGTATGGGGGGTATGGGGGTGATCAGGATGCTGGTATGGGGGGGGGGTGATCAGGACGCTGGTATGGGGGTGATCAGTACTCCATCATGCTGGTATGGGGTATGGAGGTGATCAGGATGCTGGTATGGGTATATGGGGGTGATCAGGGTGCTAGGTATGGGGGTGATGAGGACGCTGGTATGGGGGTAATCAGGGTGCTGGTATGGGGGTGATCAGGACTGGTTGGGGGGGGTAGGACACTGTTCTGCATGGAAGAGTGGACAGAACATTTGGGAGGGAAGCCCGGCCATGTGACCTATCACAGTCATGGGACATGGCGGAGCTCCTCCCCATGGGCGGCATTTTATGAATGGGATTGGGGCTGTGAAGTGTCTGGGGACGGTCCCTCCGGCTCCCTATCTTCCCTAATGTGAGTCTGTAACTTACCTTCCCAGCAGTCGCAGGAGGAGATCGCCTCCTCTCCTGTCAGTCGTCCTTCTCAGCATCCCGACAGATGATTCTGTTCTGTAGATAAAGGATTGGTAGGAATGTAAGATTGGGAATCGGTTCTATGACAATCCAGTATCCCAGTACAGTACTCCATCATTGGTACTTGGGGGGGGGGTTGTAGTACTCCATCATTGTAGTACTGGGGGGGAGGTTGGTACTCCATCATTGGTACTGGGGGGGGTTGGTACTCCATCATTGGTACTTGGGGGGGTAGTACTCCATCATTTGGTACTCCATCATTGGTACTGGGAGGGGGGGGGTAGTACTCCATCATTGGTACTTGGGGGGGGGGGTAGTACTCCATCATTGGTATGGGGGGGGGGTAGTACTACATCATTGGTAAGGGGGGGTAGTACTCCATCATTGGTACTGGGGGGGGGGGTAGTACTCCATCATTGGTAATGGGGGGTAGTACGTCCCATCATTGGTAATGGGGGGTACTCCATCATTGGTAATGGGGGGGGTAGTATTATGTCATCATTGGTAATGGGGGGGGGGTTAGTACTCCATCATTGGTACTGGGGGGGGGGGTAGTACTCCATCATTGGTACTGGGGGGGGGGGATAGTACTCCATCATTGGTATGGGGGGGGGGTATAGTACTCCATCATTGGTACTGGAGGGGGGGGTTAGTACTCCATCATTGGTACTGGGGGGGGGGGTAGGCTTGTAGTACTCCATCATTGGTACTGGGGGGGGGTAGTACTCCATCATTGGTACTGGGGGGGGGGTTGGTACTCCATCATTGGTACTGGGGGGGGGGTTGGTACTCCATCATTGGTACTGGGGGGGTTGGTAGTACTCCATCATTGGTACTGGGGGGGGGTAGTACTCCATCATTGGTACTGGGGGGGGTAGTACTCCATCATTGGTACTGGGGGGGGGGTAGTACTCCATCATTGGTACTGGGGGGGGTAGTACTCCATCATTGGTACTGGGGGGGGGTAGTACTCCATCATTGGTACGGGGGGGGGGGTAGTACTCCATCATTGGTACTGGGGGGGGGGTAGTACTCCATCATTGGTACTGGGGGGGGGGGGGGGTACTGGGGGGTGTAGTACTCCATCATTGGTACTAGTACTCCATCATTAGTACTGGGGGGTAGGGGGGGGTAGTACTCCATCATTAGTACTGGGGGGGGGTGGTACTCCATCATTAGTACTGGGGGGGGGGTAGTACTCCATCATTGGTACTGGGGGGGGGTTAGTACTCCATCATTGGTACTGGGGGGGGGGGGTAGTACTCCATCATTGGTACTGGGGGGGGTAGTACTCCATCATTAGTTGGTACTGGGAGGGGGTGGTAGTACTCCATCATTTGGTACTGGGGGGGGGTAGTACTCCATCATTGGTACTTACTGGGAGGGGGGGTGGTACTCCATCATTGGTACTGGG